ATCTTGATGTCCTTGATGCGTGCCGATGGCATGGAGGCGGCTGGCACCAGATCAGCCCAAGAGAAGGAATGAGAGGCCAATGGAGATTTATGTGAGGAGAGTGAGATGGACAAGGTAAAATTGTCAGGAGGAGTTGTTAGAAAGTAAAATATATTGTGACAATTCCACTCCTGCCGTTCATCAATAAACTGACAGATCATTTAGTGTCAATTAGGAGTGATAGATGGACAAGTCCCCATGATCCTGGGCCAAAATTAATGGCTGGGAGGGAGAGGGTGATTGAAAATGACGGCTGACATTGAGAGGAAAGTCCTGAAGGTCCCCAAGGGGCCATTACTTGCCTCATTCCCTTGCAGATCAATGCAGGGACAAACCCAAAAACAGACACTTCAAGACAAAACTTAATCAGACTTCCTTTTCTTTCTTCTCCTTCTAAGTTGTGCCCCCTCACTTGGCAGCCTTGATCCTTTATGCCTATACTCTTCACATCATTGAGGACACCCACAGATGGCTGCAAGATGCAGGGTGAGGCTGCCGTCTTCCCCACCACCAGGAGCCTGGCTCCGCTCCTAACATGGCAGGGCCACAGAGAAGCCCAGCCTGGGATTTACCTCAACATTGCTGGACTGGGAGTAGAGGGCAGAAGCAATGACACAAGCTTTCCCCTACCGTGTCAGATAGAGAAGCTCATGAGCACTTTACTACTCCCACTTGCAAGACAGGGATGGCTAGAGGTTCTATAAACCAGGCACTCTCAGGGGTCATTTCATACGGATACAACACAGGATAGTTTAAGCCTATATTTCTGAAACAGGAGGTTTTTAACTTTACTTACCTCTAGAGACCTTGAATCATAAAATCCCTTAATCTCTTAAACAACCTTCCTCCAGCTCCAGGGTGCAATCTCACCATTGCCCACCCTCCAGAGCCCTAAATGATATCTACACAAAGGCTGGGTTACCCTTCTCTAAAGGTCACCCTGACCACATCCCCTTCCTTCCTACAGGCCCTTAATATTCCCCTTCTTCTTAACTGCATTCCTGAACACTGTGCCACCACTTCTGTTCCAAAATACTTCAGCATGGTCAAACCGTGATTATTCCAAGTCTGTATGACCTATCAGTCAGAAAGGAGAAATTATGGTTGTAGCTGGAGCACCTGTTGCTAAACTGCCACGATCCCTGTAGAAGAAATAAGATACATATGCAGGCACTAGAAGGGGCTTCTTAATGAAAGCAGCACTTGGCGTTTGCTTGCAGGGCCACCTGAAATGAGCTGTGTTTATTCCACAACAATCCTAGCTGCTGCCTGCAGAACCGTATGAATTTTAAGGGGCTGACTGCAAGACCAAAGGGATCAAAGACCCAAGCAAACTGGAAGTGTCCCGAGAAGCAAAGAAATAAAAATATGAATAGGGAGAAAAACGGAACAAATTCTATAAGGAAAGTCAGATAGATGAGATCAGCAGACGCTGGAATTAAATGGATCCCAGCAGCACCTCTCCTTTGTCAAATCCTCACCAGCATGCAAAACTGAGTTCCCTTTTCTTTTTCCCATTGGCAGGCATTTTGTGTTTCTTCCTTCTGATGCATGAGATAACCTGACAATAAACCTCTGCTTTGCTTGTCACAAGTGTCAACACTGATGTCATTAAGGACATCAGCGCAGTGTTCAGAATGGCACTTGGGCTCCATCCAGTGGTTGGAAAGCTTCTTCTGTAGCAAAACTAGCTGTAATTACTATTATTTATGTATTCTCAGCAGGGTACTAGGCCCCAAGTGGCTGCCTAGGCTCTTGGCTGGTCCCCTTTCCTTTAATAGTGGGGCTAGAATATTGCTTGGGCAGCAAAGAGACTGCCTCTTCTCATAGAGAGTGATTCTTCCCTCTGAGTACAAATTAAAATAAACGCAGCAGATTCAGGTGCTGAGGGCCCCATCGGTAAGGAAAAAAGATTCTTCCATCACTACTTTGCACCATTTATTTGCTGATTGCAGAGGACGAGCCTGAGAGTTTGCTCACCTGCACTTAACTGCAGTTTTCATCACTATCCAGATGTACAAAATAGGACTCCTACCAATGACAGCTATTCTACAGAGGTACTAGGGGCCCAAAGTAATCTTTCCATGCTTGACTTTTGAAAACTTATCAGTAAAAAGATAGGATTTTGGTAGTTCTCAAGAATTTAAATATCTGACACTTGTAAATACTATGGGAAGTCATGATAAAATACTTCATCTTACTTGCACACCACTTGTGAGAATTAATTTCAAAACTCATTACAGGTTGGAAAAATGTAAGGGCCCTCCTCCTCTTCCTCTCTTGCAATGGTCTGAGACAGCAGTAGTCTGATGGAAAGAATCAGCAAGATGGTGATAATATTGGTAAGTTTACCTAGGTATGACAAGAGCTGGGCAGGTAAGGGACTAAGAGGAAGCAGCAAAGGTAGAAAAACAGAAAAACAGGGTGCAAATTAAATTCTACTCCAACGTGTGCCAAATGGAAACACAAAGAACAATTTCAAGTGATCATTTCACATTTATAAGATTCTGAACTAGAAATTCAGCAGAAAAGATTTTAAGTACCCCTGTAGGAAAAGCAACAAGGGGCAACTGCAACTGGCTGAATCTGTCAGAAACAGAACTAAAAGCTTAGACCTCAAACGGGGAGAGAATAACACATAAACAGCTAAAGATCATTTCTCAAGTGGCTGCAGTATCCCATCTGACCCACAATATATTTATACAACACAGAGAATCTAATTGTAGCCACTCTGCTCATCCTTCCTTTCTAAGAAAAAAAAAATCACATTTTAACACTGTCAGTTCTGAAAACCAAATTATTTAAAGCAGTACAATTCCCAAGTGCAGGCTCAGTTACACTGGCATAAAAGTGCTAATACCTACATCAAATATATCAATAGAAGCATGTTATTCGAACTACATCTACATGAGTGAAATTGGAGCAAGTTAACTTGATGGGCTTCCAAACTGAGTCAAATTGGTTGAAAAGCTGCGGGGAGATAGAGCCTGAGAAAACAGAAACAACAAAGCTACAGTAACTTGGTATGACATCAGCCGATGACTCAGACTTTTCACATGAAGGCTTTACTCTGGGATATGTCACAAAGACAGCCTTACAGGCCAGCATCTCAGACTTTAAGGGAGAGCAAGAGAGGCATCAGCTTGGGGAGAATACACAGCTGAAGGGAAGAAAAGACACGGTAACTTGCACTCCTTGTACCTCATATGACTAAAGAAAGACAGAACAAACCTTCCCTTCATAAAATTTATTCAATAAAAGCTCTTAATACAAATGAAATGAACGCTGTCAAATATGACATATCGTATGCGTGACTGAGCAAGGGGCACATCTTCATTTCCTGTCCCACTATGCAGGGTCTCACAGGTAGAAAGGTCTGCAGCCCTCCATCTCCTGTTCTGCTTCTCCAGGGAAATTGCATCGAACCTCACAGAAGCGTTTACTCCAGACACCTGCTATATCTGTAAACCATGCAATTAGGATGCTGGAGAAGCACCACTGATAGCTACTTCTCCAAATCTATCAGATGAAGCTAACGTCAAACAATGGAAAACATCCTGAAGTAGCACATGACACAGTGCTGTCACATTAGGAACTTGTACACTGTCCTTCAGGGCACATTACGCACAGCCCTGAATAACTGTATTACCTCCAATCCAGTACTTCACCTAGCCAACAATTACAGAATTTATTTTTCCTAAACAATGCGATTCACCCTTGTTCTCTGCTACCACATTTCTATAAAGCTTCTGCTCAGTCCTACAAAGATTCAGGATCATTGGTGGCGTAGTCGCATTTTTTTTATAACCCTGATGTGGATGCATCTTTGCAATGGCAACTTCTAGCTGCTGCCAACCTATGAAAAATACTACCATTATCAGAGTCAAACCGGAGAGGAACAGAAGGAGCGCAGGCTGAGATCTTTATCCCTTTGCTTAACTCCAGTCTTCAGATTTTCAGCCAATTTATTCTTCAGAGACAAACAACGTGATAATTCCCAGAAAAGTACTGTTTTCCAGACAGGGTACCCCACAATATAGACAACCTTTCTCACCTCCCAAGAGGTACTGACTGTATAACAGGTTTCTGGATGTCCTCTCCCATTCTCAGTGTTCCAGGAAAGAAAATACGTAACTTTCCCATAAATCAGAGTACCTCCAAAGTATATGTTCAGATTATTATAGGCCTTAATGTATACAAGCAATCTCACACCACCCCATGACTGAGCCCTTCAGCTCTGTGAACAGGACATATAACACCAGCGTAACTTTACAGCTTGAAAAACAACGAATAGCTTGAAACCAAGTCATCTCCTCCTGAACTGTCTTACAGTTTTCATACCCATTCTATTACCATGTCCAGGTATTTCCTTTCCCTTAGGTGTCCTTCATAAACATCAGGCTTCTCAACCTACACTCTACAATTTGTATACTTTTTTTCCTGCCATCTCTTCTCACTGACCATCTCCATCCATCTCCATTATACCATAACCCCACACACACATAAACATTGACAAATTTCACCTTTACTGTCAAGGCTGATCACTAAATCCTGAACGGTTCATTGCATTCTTGTCAGTGGGGCACTGTCATGTGTCACTCTCCTGGAAAGGACACAACCAGTCAAATCCCCCCTCCCAGCTCCTGCATTTAACATGCTTATTACGTTCTTGACTCCTTCCAGTTACTGTACCAGGTAAGGAATACACTGCTTCTGGCAGACAGCGACATGTACGCATTTCTGAGACCCATCAGGCCAATTTATAAAGACCACTAGCCAGCAGAACCAAGCAAGAGCAATACTTCAAATGGTCTGAAGGAGCTACAATGGTATTGGATAGACAGGCCACCTACAAGATCCAGAAAAACTGTTCCAATGCCTGTGACAACTAAGCCCAACTAGTGACGTTCACTTAATCCATGCCTAAGCCACTCTTAGTAAGGAAAGAGGTGAGGACTCACTTGGTAGCTGCCACTGCAGGATCATCTGCCCAGCCTCCTTGCCGGCGTGGGGGTTTAGGTGGTGGACCCTTTAATAGAGAAGAGACATGTTACAGCCAGGTCCAGTCAAGGCAAAGTCAAACCAATTGAGACAACAGGTCCACACACACTAATGTAACGCTTTACCAAATAGCAGATGGAGAGATAGTGTTTAAAAAGCTATTTATTCATAAAACAAAAGGAAGACAAATATTGCAGGACAGGTTTTTAGGTGTCCCTGTAAGCAAAAGACATATGACTCTAATCAGTATCTTGGCAAGTTTCAGGTCTGTGTGCCTTTGATTTGTCCAGGACACACAGTACACTGGCAGACTGATCCACAGAGGATGCATTCTTGTGGCAAAATATGTTTCACCGGGAACTCGTTTGTTACTGCTGCCCACATTTCAGTGGGACCTACCACATGCTACATGTTTCCTAGGGTACAAGTCAACTTGTTTTAGACGTGTTGTTTTAGATGAAGAATTGTTCCTAAAAAGTGTCTGCTTTTGTCCACTGCCTAGAATAAGAAGTTAGATGCCAAGTTCAGATACAGGCAGCTATACCAAACACCTCTAAAGTTAGGTGAGATGAACCCCACCACTGAAATGTTACAGGGGAAGTTCATCTGGAGCTTAAAGACACTCCCCGCTATTTTCTTGCATTGTCTTGTGTGGCACTGCTGAGCGGCAAGAGAGAACAGGAATTCAGCTTGGGAATTTTCAAATATACAATGGGAATTTTCAAAGAGCAGGGCCACAATTTCCTGCCTTGTGGGAGCTGCCCGCTGCCTCTGGCACTTTTGGGCTCAGTTCCCCCTGCCTGAAGCACCTGGTACAGCAGTGGCTTCAGTGTTTTGCATGACAGGCAGTGGTGAAAGGAGAGGGGCAAAGTGAACCCAGTGCATAAACATGTTTATATAGCTCCCAGTTGATGGTGACCAGTGAGGAAGATGGGTGATGGGGACCTGTGAAGGGGCCATTATGAGAAAAGGTGATTGGGTAAAAGATGTCCCAAATTGGGGAAAAATTATAACTGCAAATGAGTCTAAGCTGGAGCAATGGTGGGGGAGGCAGGTGGCTCCCACAGCTTTTGTTAAGAAAGGGAATGGGCTGTGTGACTCCTGAGGATTTTTGACTTGACAGAGGGGACCCTGCATGTGTGGTGGGGTCAACCCTGAGCAAAAGCCAAATTACCTCTTGCCACAGATGAGGAAGGGGCCGAGCTAACCCCTGATGGTAGGGGTCTCCCATGTTTATTTCTTGAGGCAGAAGCATTGTTTGTGAGTGTGGGAAATGAAGAGACCCTGCCAGGGGCAGCCACTGCCTGCTGCAGGGAGGGGGCACGACCCTGCATAGCTCCCCGATAGGAGCAAAAATAGTCATCCTCCAAAAATAAACAGGGAGCAGGACTGAGGCAGGAGCTGCAGTCCCAAAATATCAGCTTTCTTCGGCAAAGGGAGCACAGGAGGGCAGAGGGACAGGCAGGGAGCGTGAAACGCAGGAAACAGCCTCCTTATATGGGCTCATCCGCAGGGGACAGAGCTCAGTCGACTGGAATGACCATGTCACAGAATGTGAAGCCTTCAGGGGCCCAAGTGAATGGAGTTTTCTGATCTTTAAACGATTTCCCCAGATTCTTAAGATGCCAAACCAGAGAAGAGGCTACAGTGCCAAAAAAGGAGCATTTTGAATTCAGTTGATCTGGACACACCCAGAGCCCAGGAAAAAGGGGAAAAACACACCACATATGGGCGTGCATGCCCACATAAACAACCCTATTCCCATTACACACACACCTACCCCAAAACACACTCCCTCCCACACAGATCCTTCCCATGCAAACAACCCTCTTCCCCTCGCACCATCTCCCAGATAGCCAGCAGGCCATGTTCCCAACACACAACTCCTCACAAAGGTGGAAGATAGATACACAAATGTCACCAAAGAACCAGGGCCATAAGGCTGAGGGAGAATGCAGCATCTCCAGGGCATTCCAACACACCTGCAATTTAATTCCCTCATCGTCAAAACTAGCCTTCAGATCCAAGATATCTCAAGTTAGGCACTCTAGATCAGAGGGCAATGACTGCCCCAGTCTTTGCACAGGGCATGACTCCACGGCATCTAGGGGTTTGATTCCAATGTCTTGCCAATGTTACTACATCTTCCCATTGATCATACACACCAGGAAACCCTGGATGTCTGTCAAACCCTGACAACCACCTCACATATACCTACAGGTCCTTTTATTCCTCTTGCAATAAATCAGGTAATTCTTTTTGAACTACCCACAGGAGCACTAGCAACAGGAAAGGTAATGTTAACTGTCAGCTGAGAATAAATAGCTTTTCTTTGTTAGTTGCCTGGAAAGTGCAGTAATAAGGTCACATGCCACATGCACTTTTGTCAAGTAAATAAACTTACCTTCATATACTTTCACATTTCCAAAAACCTCAGCATAATTTACAATTGAGAATGCAATGTCGGGCATTGCCACAATATGGTGACAGGTAGGGCCACCACAGCTGCAAGCAAGAGCTTGCAAGGCAGAAAGTGGGAAAAACATCAACCCCAGAGGGAGCAGAGCAGAAACAGAGGACATTGTTCTTCTGTAATGGAGCAAATGTGCTCCTGAACACACCTTTTTGGTGAAAGAGACTGAGGTCTTTAAATGATCAGAACTTATTGGTATCTATCTATTATACTTCGGCAACATTTTTATGTATGTTCCCCAATGCAAAGCTAAGCTATACACCCAAACGGTTTGGTGTCCAAAACACTGAGATTCCACCAGCTCCTGACAACAGTGTTCTCTCTCTCAGCTCTTGCTGCTCAGTCTCTTTTCCACTTAAGTTTTATCTGTTATTTATCTCCAGAAGATTTCCTCTACCTTAGTTTGTGCAGATTGTACACCTTTTCAAGCAACATTGCCATGGTCTGGGCCTTTTATGTTGTTCTTTCTCAGAAATTTAGTTCACCGTTTTTATGATGGCACTTCTCCAGTATTTCTCAGACCACCTTCCTTACCAACACTTTCATACTACCACATAATCGGTATTTTATCACTCCCTTTGAAAAATGACTGGCCTGAATTCCATCTCTCTTGCCTTAAAGTAGAAACTCTACCTTCTTCTTTATCTGTAGTCAGACTCTTTCTTATCAGACAGATGTAGAATTCTAATTTGGCTTCCCCATTAAGGCAGAAATTTCCAGGCCACTTGTCAGATCATGTCTGCATTTTCAAAGGTGCTCGTTGGATGTTGCTTCCCTCACGGAAGCAACTATCTTGTGTGTCTCTGGATCCTGAGGGTCCAGCAAAGTTTCTTTTAGGACCTACCACAACACAGGCAGATTACAGACATGTTGGGTCCCTCAGATTCTCAGGCAGGTCTGGAAATATGGATTAATTTACCTTCATCAACATGACAACTCCTTTGAAACGGCGAACACACTGTGCAGGGAAGCAGGGACTCAAATGACATTGACAGCATGCAACAGAGGGCACACAATTTTTCTACCATGTAACACATCTCATAAAACATGTGGGATCTATGTTGCGCCCAATTTACAAACACTGTGAGATTTTATACAGTATGTAAGCACCTTGTTTTTATCCATTATTGACCATGAAGTAGAAGTATGGTCAGCCTCGAGTTTCATCTTCACCAGTAAGTTGCCTGGGGCTCCCCTGACTGAGAAAAAGCAAATCTCCACAAACAGGCCTGATGAATTAGTTTTGACTGCTGCCAATTAAGGAGCTATAAGTCAAATAGCCCCACTGCTTCCAAGCAGCCACATAACACTTATAATCTATACAAATCTCAGAGCATATATGATATCAAAAAGGTCTCAGTTCCCAGATCTATGCAAGCCTTGGCTTTTTGCAAAGAACAGCCCATCTCTGCCAGCCCTCTTTATCGTGTCCACAGATTGCTCAAGTAGTGCATCTGATTTTAATGAATCCCCTCCAAGGACTTCAGGTCGTCTTAAATGCCTAGTAGAAAATACTGGATTTTCATTTCACCCACAAACTGTCCTTCTTCATGGTCACTGACCTTCCTTTACTAGGGAAGGTGCTATTGAGACAGAAAAAGTTCTTGAGCAGCTTTAACTGTTCTCTGTCATCTATCACAGCAGGTAAAGCTCATACTGTTAAACAGCCATCAAGAATTTCTTCCCTAAAACAGTGGTCAGCTACCCGGTCAGCTTACGCGTGCTAGGAAAGCTGTCATATTGTAGCATTTGGCACCTTAACCTGTCTCAAGAGTTACTGCTCTCCCCTGCACGAAAACAGTGAAGCAGCACATGATCTGATTCTCTGAGCAAGGGGTTACCAGGTAGAATCCTCTCACAACCCACAGTTACAGGGCAGTGCCCCTCCAGACCCCCCAGGCATAAACACCTCTCAAACGGTTCACTACTACCTTGTGCTACATACTGTCAGACACGTTCCCATCCATTTCCACCACTCCTACAGTTCTTTTGCTGCCGTTAGGTGGGTCCAGGAGCACTCACAACATGAACTAAATGTGTGGAAAATAAAAGGAAAAGCTTTGAATAAAATTGTTTTCAATGGGATTGTCCCTAATCCACATCAAGGTAGTCAAGCAGGGAGGATACTACTAGAAAGGCTGGGAAACATGGCTGACTAGAAATCTATTTCAGTAGATGTCATCAAAAGGCTAGTAGATAACCTCAGAAAGCTGAAAATAACTGCCCTGCTGGCCAGGCACTCGGGGTGCACGGGAGAGAGGCAGCGCAAGGCCTTGGGGAGCTCCAGGCCATGCAGTGCTGGGGCTCACACTGGGGAAGTTGGCCTAATTAGGGAACAAAAGTTCAGATGCATTTTTTAGATTCCTCCTGGAGAATCTGGCCAACTTCCAGCTGAGCGGTCCCCGGGAACTGGCTGGGAGTCCAGCATTTCTACAAGCAACCAGAAGACCACTGGAAAAAAAGAAGCAATGACTGTAAAAGAGGAAGCAGGTAAAAAAGCCAGTGCTTCCTTGGATGCTGGTTCCCTTTGGTAGAGGGTGTTTATTAGCACAATG